AGCTCTGTCTTGATAACATAAAAGTGGCAGAAAGAAAATCTGCATAAATGTGTAATTAGGTAACTATTGAAAGGTCAGATGTCATGGGCAAATCTGGAGATTATTCTTATGAAAATTCTAAGGAATTTCTTAACCTGGTATTAAACCTAAGATTTTATAGACCTCCTTAAAATTATATACTAAATTGTATATGTGCATATGTATGTATGGTATCATTTTCATTAGACTTTCAGTAGGGTCTGTGAGCAGAAGGCCCAGTACCAGAGTGACATTGACTAGGGTGATGAAAGGCACCCTCAGACAGGTACTAAATGAGAAGATTATGAAAAAAAACCAACATCATTCAGCTAAGAATAAAGCAGATCAAAGATCAGCCACATGAAGGTAATAGTTTATTTTCTTAGAAACATTACCATGTTGCCTAGGCTGGTCTCATACTCCTTTGTAGTTATTTAGCATGTTGCTTGAATCGTGAAAGAAGGAGAAAAGAAGGCTGGGAAATAAAACAAACACACAGACCAGGTGTGATCGCTCACAACTGTAATTCCAGCACTTTGGGAGGCCAAAGCAGGTGGATCACTTGAGGTCAAGAATTCAAGACCAGCCTGGCCAACATGGTGAAACCTATCTCTACTAAAAGTATAAAAATTAGCCAGTCATGGTGGTACGCACCTGTCATCTCAGCTAGTTGAAAGGCTGAGGCAGGAGAATTGCTTGAACCTGGGAGGTAGAGGTTGCAGTGAGTCGAGATCGCACCACTGCACTCCAGCCTGGGCAACAGAGTGAGACTCCATCTCAAAAAACAAACAAACATACACACACAAATCTTGATGGTCATTGTTGGAAGTGGCTAGTGTGCCAACTCCTTACTTTGAAAATTGGTACCTAAAGAGGAGGAATTTAGCATTCATTATCCCTACATATCAAAGTTGTTTCTCAGAATAATAACTATGGTTGACAAGAAAAAATACTTCTCTACAGAAGAATTTTCCCTAAGAAGTGTTGCAGGAATCCATTGGAAAATCACAATTTTGCAACCCTTAATGAAGTCATTGATTCATGTAACAGCCACTAATGAATACTAAAACTGTTAGTGCTGTGGTTCTCAATGTCTGGCCCCTGTTCCAGCATCTTAAACACCACCTGGATACTTCTTTTAAAAAAATACGAAATCTCAGGCTCTTTCCAAAACCAACCATGTCAGAAACTCTAAGGGTAGGTCCCAGAAGGCTGTGTGTTAACAAACCCTCTGACAGTTCTGACAATCATCAGAGTTTGAGAACCATGATATTAGGAGAAAGACTGATAAGAATCTTTAATGCAAGGATCAGGCTGTCATTCCCAGTACTTACTGACTAATCTTAGCACTAGAACCAGATGTTATATTCCTCCTCATAGATGCACCTGTGATGTATTCTTGCCACTCCCAAAAGATATTAAGCCTGAATCTATTCAGTTTTTTATAGAAACTATAGGAGACTGAAGAATAAGTTAAACAGTAATGTGAGGAAGGAAAGGAAAAATCCAGAATGTAGGATTGCTAACCCAGTTTCTTCAAGTTAGTGGCATAGGAAAAAGGGGGAGGGTAAGGGTAAGGATACTGTTCCAGAGTAAAAAGGCTCCAGAGGCAAAATAAACAAATGTAAAATGTTCGTCTTAGTTTGCATCCTGATTCAAACAAGCCAACCACAGGGATTTGAATTCAGACTGGGTTTTAGATGATACTAGGGAACTGCTAATTATGTTAGGTTTGATAATGGTATTGCACTTATATAGGAAAATGTCATTTTTAAGAGATACATAGAAAAGTATTTAGGGTGAAACAAATTGATGCCAAAATTTGCTTTATGTTACATGAGAAAAAAGGATAAATTAAACAAGTATGGCAAAAATGTTAATAACTTGAATTTGGATGATTCATTATACTAGTTAATATAATTTTATGTGTGTACAAAACTTTCGTAATAAAAATTAGAAAATTTTAAATGATATCTGTGTAATAATGTATTTATTAGGCAGTTCTCCCTGTGCTAACTTTCATCAAGTGCATTGTAACGGTCTGTTTACCTTGCCTGTACTAGTATTTCTCAAACTATCAAACTGTCAGTATTACTGAGTTTAAATTAGTCTGTTGCAGACCATGATTTTTGTAAAAGGCAATAAAAATCAATTACCAGAAAAGCAAAACTGGAGGGGATGTTGGCATATAAAATATAACCTTAAAAGTTTTCGTTATTAAAGTTAACAAACATAAAATTACATTTCGCTTAGCAATCAGAACAAACAGAAACATAGGAAACAAGAATTTTCTAAAACCTGTATTTATTCATCAAAAATACACACATAAGCAGATATGAGGGTGATCTGGCTGCAACATCTGTCACCCCATTGATCACCAGGGTTGATTTGGCTGATCTCGCTGGCTGGGCGGGCATCCTCTTCCTTCCTCACCCCTCCATGTGCGTCCCTCCCAAAGCTGCACACTCGGTCAAGGAGGACGACCACCCCCAATAGAGGACCAGTCTTTGGTCAAGGGTATATGAATAGCTGCATTCCCCTGCTAGAACCTCCAAACAAGCTCTCAAAAATATACCCATAAGCAATTAGAGTAGACAAGTGCTATTACATTCATAAGTTGGTTCTGTAATCATAAATAAAGCTTTTTTTTTTTTTTTGAGACAAGAGTTGCTCTGTCGCCCAGGCTGGATTGCAATGGTACCATCTAGGCTCACTGCAACCTCCACCTCCTGGGTTCAAGCGATTCTCCTGAGTAGCTGGGATTACAAGCGCCCACCACCACACCCAGCTAATTTTTGTATATTTAGTAGAGACAGGGTTTCACCATGTTACCCAGACTGGTTTCGAACTCCTAACCTCAGGTGGTACACCCCACCTTGGCCTTCCAAAGTACTAGGATTACAGGCATGAGCCATGGCACCCAGCCATAAATAAGGTTTTTAATCTGAAACATGAGAGTGCTTTTTGTATGTTAGACTTTGTGCATTAACTTGAGCTTGGATTGTGTTCCTCAAAGCGGGTGATGTATGCCTAAACTACTTTTATTTGCAGCCACAGGTTTCTGGCTCACTTTCTTCTATTACTGATTTCTCGGCAGATGTTACAGTTTTCAGGGATGCCTACATTGCAGAAATCATAAAGCATGGGGAAGATAATAGATAGACTGGAATGCCTGCTGAGATTTTCACCTGAAGAGTGAAAGTGCCACCTCCTTAGATAGTTTGTCTCAGGAATTTGGATGTTGTCATTTTTCTCACACTCTGTGTTATACATTTACTGATATGTGACGACTCTGGCTTTACGTGGTAATTTTAGGTTCAGATATACCATGCCTTTGTTTTTCAGACAGTGACTTTCCTGATGCCACGTTTCAAAGTTTTTCTTTCCCCTTGCCTGTGGTACCCCCAATGTGGACTGATAGCTTCAAAAAACAATAACTGTAGATTCCATTGTGCCTCCCAGGACAAATTTTGTAGTCAGTAGTTTGGGGTCTCTTTCCATATATTAATAATTAGCCAGATGTAGTGGCATGCATCTGTAGTCCCAGCTACTCGGGAGGCTTTGGTGGAAGGATCGATTGAGCCCAGGAGATTGAAGTTGAGGTGAGCCATAATTGTGCCCCCGTACTCCAACCTGGGCAACAGCGCAAGACCCAGAATCAAAATTAAACAAATAAAATAAAAGGATTGTTAGGATTTCAACAGAAGCCTGGTAAAGACCCTTAATATAATTTTTTAAAGTATGTCAAATATTCCAGCCCCAGATTGACTGTTCAGTCACCAGTTGCACAAATTCAGCCAGATGACTTAACCCCTCTGATTGTCAGCTTTCTCATCTATAAAATGGGAATTGAGTAATAGTTATCATAGAGGGGTTTAGGAAGATGAAATAAGACATTGTGATACAAATATCCTTTGTAAACTGTAAAGTATTGTGTGAATATTAATTTTATAGTAAATAGGTGGCTCACACCTGTAATCCCAGCACTTTGGGAGGCCAAGACAAGCAGATCACCTGAGGTCAAGAGTTCGAGACCAGCCTGGCCAACATGGTGAAACCCTATCTGTACTAAAAATATAAAAATTAGCCAGGTGTGGTGGTGTGTACCTGTAGTTCCAGTTACTTGGAAGGCTGAGGCATGAGAATTGCTTGAACCTGGGAAGCAGAGGTTGCAGTGAGCCAAGATCGTACCACTGCACTCCAGCCTAGGTGACGAAGCAAGACTCTGTCATGAAAAACTAAAATAAATAAAAAATTACAGTAAATATTGAGAAAGGCATGGGCCAAAGTCAGGGAATTTAAAAAACGGTAAGCTAGTAAACGCTAAAGCAGAAAAGATGTACAGGACTGGGAATATTGAGTGACTCATACAGTTCCCTATTTAGGACAGTTATGCTATATTTAAAAGTCTTTCAAGATTTGTCTTGATACTTCTTTGTGTTGATCAAAAGATAATTTCAGAGGACTTTCAGATCTTTGGGTGAAATTTTAATGAGTGGTAATGTTTAGTTTTATTGAATTCGTGTATATAGTTACGTAGAATTAATTTTCAGATAAGCTGCTTTAATAAAGATTATAACACTGCATAAAGATAGTGTATTTTGCAAAATATATTTGTCTTACAGTTTGGAGACAGGTTGTCATGACAGTGTTTGGTTTAGAGAACAAGTCTGCATGTTCTTGGGCAGATGAGAATTCCTTCCAACAGAACAGGGTGTTCTAGTTACCTAGACATTTAAAAAATCACTTGGAGTTGTACTGTGAGTATTATGCTGCTCACCATTTATTTGGACTTCAGTGAAATATGATTGGAAATATTTCTCCAAAGGCAAGAAACTCATAAATCACCATATTACTTTATCGATAATTACTGTTTATTTAAAAAAAAAAAAAACACTTTTTGAGGAAAAAAATTTCCTGACTACTAATGGTGGAGTTATTTTATTTTGGTGACTAATTCTTAATCCTCTCTTCATTTACAGACTATCTTGCTAATCATGGCCGGCTAAATGAGTCTGAAGCCAGGAGAAAATTCTGGCAAATCCTGTCTGCTGTTGATTATTGTCATGGTCGGAAGGTTGTGCACCGTGACCTCAAAGCTGAAAATCTCCTGCTGGATAACAACATGAATATCAAAATAGCAGGTAACTGGGACACAACTGGCTCTAACACAATCAGATGTGAGCCACTGCGCTCAGTGTGCAGAAACAGACCTGCAGGCGCAGATTCAGCAGCATTTCTACCTGATGACATTAGGCTTTCTCAAAGTCCATTTTATTCATTTCCTTCGTTCTGTGTGTGATTAAAAGTAAGGGAATAAGTTCATTATTAATACACAGTGTCACAGCTACGTCTGGGGTCTGATGTGTCCACATTCCATTGTCAGGGTCCGGGGGCTCTGCTGGAAGAAGTACATTTGAATGTCAGAGTGATTGGAGAAAGGACGGCTGGAGGAGCAATGTGGTTGCTGGTGCTTTGGCCTGCTCTTCTCATTATGATTAATGGCTACAGCCAGAAGCAGAGAAAACACAAAGGAAGTGATGGAAGTAGAATGAGAAATATTTGAGACAGAAAAGCACCTTGCCTTGCTCTGATAACAATAGGGTTTTGATTTATAACATGAAAACTGAGTTTGGTAGAGATTAGTTTGCTTGTTTTCTCCTAGCCTTTTCACAATTGTAAAATGTTTTATTTTATATTCTGAGTTTCTTTATTTACATAATCGAAACTCTCATTCACTCAATAGATATGTATCAAGCACTGTGCTGTGTTAAGTACAGTATGATATGTGGAAATAATTTCACAACATATCCATATATTAAAATAACATGTTTTACACCTCGAATATATACAATTTTTGTCAATTACACTTTAATAAAGCTGAGAAAACACAGTATGATAGTTGCAATTTTAAAAGTATATACAGACTGCAGTAGGAGTTTAGTTGAGGGAATAGCAGTCCACCTGAAGAATCAGGGAAGCTTCACAGAGAGGGAATTATTTGAACTTAGACCTGAGAGATAAGTTAGAGAAACTTGTCAGGACGATAAACGGAAGCAGAATGTTGCAGGCAGGTAGACCGAGATTGGAATGGTGGGGAACTGTAAATTCAAAATTGGTTAAATATAAAATCTGCAGGCATGCAGGATTAATACAGGGGAGCAGATAGGTAAAGACCGCAATATGAAACATCTTGAATGCCCTGTCAGATTTTAGAGTTTATTATGTAGGTAATGGGGAGGCTAGCCTACTAAAAATTATAAGGCATGGTTGGAGGTAAAGTGGAATTGGGATAACATGATTAGATTTGCATGTCAGAAATATGTCTCTGGCAGCAGAGTTAAAGATAGGTGGAAGATGTGGGTTAGGCTGAAGACAGGAAGACTAATAAGGAATCTAGTGCAGCAGTCTGTTTAAGAAAACATGAGTCTGAACTAGAGCAGCAGCAGTAGAGGTTGAAGGTATGTAAAGGACATTTTGTTTGACTTGGGTTTCGAAGAAGAGAAAAAGCATGGGTTAAAAGCTTAACAAAGTTACACGTGGTGGTGTTTTGTTCTAATCTTGTTAAAGAAGAGCAGGGAGACATCCAGATGACAGGAGCTGACCAAGAAATTACTAATTAGGGCTGGGCGCGGTGGCTCAAGCCTGTAATCCCAGCACTTTGGGAGGCCGAGGCAGGTGGATCACAAGGTCAAGAGATCGAGACCATCCTGGTCAACATGGTGAAACCCCGTCTCTACTAAAAATACAAAAAATTAGCTGGGCATGGTGGCACATGCCTGTAATCCCAGCCACTCAGGAGGCTGAGGCAGGAGAATTGCCTGACCCCAGGAGGCGGAGGTTGCGGTGAGCCGAGATCGCGCCATTGCACTCCAGCCTGGGCAACAAGAGCGAAACTCTGTCTCAAAAAAAAAAAAAAAAAGAATTATCTTCTTGGCCGGGCGCTGCGGCTCACACCCGTAATCCCAGCACTTTGGGAGGCTGAGGTGGGTGGATCACCTGAGATCCACCAGGTAGGAGCTCGAGACCAGCCTGACCAACATGATGAAACCCCGTCTCTACTAAAAATATAAAAATTAGCCAGGCATGGTGGCAGGTGCCTATAATCCCAGCTACTCGGGAAGCTGAGGCAAAAGAATTGCTTGAACCTGGGAGGCAGAGGTTGCAGTGATCTAAGATCGAGCCACTGCACTCCAGCCTGGGTAACGAAGTGAGACCCTGTGTCAAAAAAAAAAAAGAAAAAGAGAAAAAAAAAAAGAATTCGCTTCTTATCTCTGAGAACTCTTAAATCTTAATGGAATCTAACACATGGGAAAAATAGGGCTCCGTGGGAAGAAATTATAAGAACTCTTACAAAGTTACTCCCTCAAATTATACTTTTTTCTTTGTTTGTTTCTGAAAATCTCTAGTTACAAAATAAGCTGAGTAAATGAACTGGTTTAGCCATGTTGTATGTTGAAATTGAAGAGAAGCACAAACCAAAACTAGTTTTCAATTAAAATATTTTGTATTTATAAAACAAAGTGGAATAGAAGTATCAAACATAGTTCATTTTAACAAATACAGAAACATGGCTTTGAGATCAGTTTCCAGGTTATGCTCCCCCAGTGGGTAAAAACTTCAGACACTAATGAGCCATGGATTCACCCACACCAGTGTGTACTCATTATTACCTCAATCATGAGACCTCCAACCTTTGTAAAAAGTGAGTGTGAGGACATTCGCAATAAGAGGCTGAATGCAAAGCCATACTGGCTTTCAGTAATTTTAGTAATTGCAGTTCTATTTCCACCTAGCTATTTTGGCTCTGGCTAATCAGGCATTAAGTCGAGAATAAATGGACGAAGAATATTTAGTTTTATTCTCCAACTTTCCCAGTCCAAAATCTTTACAATAAATATTTAAATAAGGATAAAAATCTATGAATTAATCACAAGTCAAACAGGGCTTTATGTAGAGTACTGAGTTGAGTAACAGTGCTGGTGCAAATTCTGGTTTTGCCACTTAGTAGCTTTGACCTTGGGGTGATTATTTACACTTGCCTGGGTTTCCATATCTATTAAATACAAATCTGTTTTTCAGGAACAGATTATAGGGATTGGTGATAATATTGGAGACAGGGAGGCGATGTAGGGTAACAGGTAAGCGTATGTGCTCTAAAGTCAGGATACCTGAGTTTGAATCCTGCCTCTGCAACTTACTAGCTTTGTGACCTTGAACATGTTTCCTGACTTCTCTCTTCTCAGTTTCCTTATCTGTAAAGGGAGAATGATGAAAGTTCATATCTCATAGTGATTATTACTTGAGTTAATATTTGTAGGGTATTTAGAACAGTGCCCGGTGCATAGTGCTAGTTAACTGAGTTAACTGTTTGTTAAATAAATTGTTAGGTAAAGTTCCTGGCACCATGTAAACACTCAGTACAAGCTAGGTATTATTTGTATTCAATGTATAATTGATTCCACATGAAAACAAAGCCTTAAAATTTTAATGGCCATATAACCCTTTCAGCATGTTTTTTTAATTAACCAAGGCTTTAAATCCTTATTAATACAAATCTTAAAGGAGCAAGGAAAGTTTTTCACATAGTCTCAATTGTCTCTGGTTGATGCAACTTAATTTTTTGCTGAGAGAGACCTTAAATGTAATTAGTATTGTGTAATTAGCCTAATTAATCTGACCTGTGCCTCAGGAATCACTTGTCTTTAGCCCGAAAGGAACACTTCCTATCCGATTTGAGGCAGTGGCCCATCATTGCTTCTAGCAACCTTCCTACTTCCTAGATGACCTTGAGACAAGTTTCTGTATATATGATTTCAGATTTGTTCCCTAGAGCTGAAAAAGGGTAGAAGAGGCAAAGACAGAAAAAGTACTTTATTAAAGTTTTTAAATATTTTATATTTATTGGGAAAATATTTATTAGAAATCTTCCATTTGTTATTCCCCTGCCACTAGCATTATGTAAAAAGTAAAAAGAGCTTTACATCAAAAAGCACAATGAAACTTTGTCTCCTTAAGTCCTACTTAGCATTGCTGGGGATATGGAAGATGGCTCAAACAGTTCATTTTGGTCTAATTTTTTTTTTTTTTTTTTTTTGAGACGGAGTTTCGCTCTTGTTACCCAGGCTGGAGTGCAATGGCGTGATCTCGGCTCACCGCAGCCTCCGCCTCCTGGGTTCAGGCAATTCTCCTGCCTCAGCCTCCTGAGTAGCTGGGATTACAGGCACGCGCCACCATGCCCAGCTAATTTTTTGTATTTTTAGTAGAGACGGGGTTTCACCATGTTGACCAGGATGGTCTCGATCTCTTGAGCTCGTGATCCACCCGCCTCGGCCTCCCAAAGTGCTGGCTTGAGCCACTGCGCCCGGCCGCTCTAATTTTTTTTTTATTCCCCCTCTTCATTTTCCTTCCCCTTACTTCATTTAAGCTAAGGAAATTTTTTTTTTTTCTTTTTTGGAGATAGAGTTTCACTCTTGTTACCCAGGCTGGAGTGCAGTGGCAGGATCTCAGCTCACTGCAGCCTCTGCCTCCTGGGTTCAAGCAATTCTCCTGCCTCAGCCTCCTGAGTAGCTGGGACTACAGGCACGTGCCAGCATGCCCAGCTAATTTTTGTATTTTTAGTAGAGACGGTTTCACCATGTTGACCAGGATGGTCTCGGATCTCTTGACCTCGTGATCCACCCGCCTTGGCCTCCCAAAGTGCTGGGATTACAGGCTTGAGCCACCGTGCCCGGCCCAGGAAGATTATTTACGTGCTCCTTAGCTCATTGAACTCTCTAACTGGACAAATAGATGTCTTACACTGGTCAGCAGGATCACATTTCATCTCAACTGTGATGATTGTTCCCTTCCCTCCTGTTAGACAGGGAGAGTGACTGATGTTTGGAAATGAACTGTGCACCTGACCTTTTCTTGCTGGTGGGCAACAAAGTATGCATTGACGTCATTGTTGGCTGATCCACATTCAGTTTGTGCAATGGGTCAGCTTCATCTCTATCACTCTTCACCTTTCATTTGTCAGCTTTCATTTCCTCATAATTGTCTTCTTCACTCCTATTATAATTACAAAGGATATGTAACTCTTCATCAAAGCTGGGTAGCTGAATTCTACTGGTAATTTTAGAAACGAGGATAAATTTAACCC